AATGTATGTTTTCTTAGCCTACCACAGGAAAAGTATGACAATTAGATGTCTTGGGTTTTGCATCTCAAGTCAACTCTCCTGTTTTCCTGCAATTGCCTGCATCCTTCATTTGCAGTGGGCTGTGACTGGCTGCCAGGTGACATGGTTTCACAGTCATGACATCATGAAGAAGAAAAAAAACATTACTTTTCTAAAACTTTCCTTTAAAAAAATCCCAAGGGTGGAGGGGAATGCAATGGCATTGTTTTGTCTGTCAAACAAAAACGAATGATCCTTTACTCTAATAAAGACAATCACAATGAAAGGTAAGAGTGGCGTAGTGCAAGAAACAGAGAGGAGACAAAATCATCATTTTCAAACCTTAACATAACAGAGCACAGTTAATACATGCCATGTGGATCATTATTCAAGACTAATATGATGTACCATTAGAATATGGGGATGTAGTTGTCAATCTTAGCCCGATGCCTTTGGGCAATACACTCAGCAATCCACACAATGTTACGGCACTCTTGTTCCTTCAACTTGACGTAGGCATAGAACACACTGAAATGAAACTGATTCAGGAAGGCCAGCTTATTGAGTTTCACCTGCAAACACATTTCAAACAGAGGCATTTGCTAACATCATTGGATTATGATTTTCAGTGCAGTAACATTCACTCTCTTTCACATTGAACAAAAACCTTTGCTCACCTCATGTTCAAAAAAGCGATCCTCGAGGGTTTTGTCTCCTGGGTTGCTGCCAGCACCCTCAAAGAGAAGCTTGTATTCCTGAAGCAACATGAACTCAATTTTAGTCCTCAAATCATTTCGGTGGCCAAAACTACCAGAGACACACACTAAGTGAACTTCACATCAAAACAACTCTAAAGGAACAGTTCACCCAAAACGAACATTCTGTCATTCTGTCAACAATCATGTTGTCATGATGAAATGTTAGTTTCAAGTCATATACTTACAGGGTAGTATTCAGCCACAGCTTTGACCTGCTCGTAATCATCTGCACGGGCTAGCTGTGCAAGACCCTCTGGGTAGAGCTTGCCACAGTGAGGGAAGAGTTTAGCTCGGTCTTCTTTGGAGAGCTCCGTACCAAAGGAGTTAATGGTAATGATGAAAGCTCTTCTGTCTGCCTCAAACTGATACAAAAACAAATCTTTGCTTTAGTTCTTAAAACACTGAAATATGTCAAATGCAATTCTTTAAAAAAAAATCCTATTTCAGACTCAAGGTTCCTATACTTGATTTTACAGATGTTTACTCACCTCCAGAATTGGGCACATGGTATCTGCGGTTGTGCCACCCAGTGAAGAGCAGAACTTGTAGAAAGCTTCTAGATAAGCCTGGAGACACAGAGAGGAGATCAACCACAGATTTCTTAGTTAAAGGTCTTTAGAAATAATTGTTTATATAAAAGCTGATATAATAATAATAATAATAATAATAATAATAACTGTTGTAATATTGACATTGCGCTGGTAACATGCCTAGCACTTTGTAATCCTATATACCTTATTGCTATTTTGTTGTTGTTATTATTAATATTTTTTCATTATTATTTCTCATGTTCATCTTAGCATTTGTATCGACTATTCCTATTTAATGCAAATAACATCTTGGTATGTACAGATAAGCAAATATCCTACAGAAACTGATTTTCCAAAAACAAACATACACTGAAAAATATACAGAGTAGTAAAAAGTGGGATAACTAGCCCCAGACGCCCCCACCCACTCACACACATGCGCACACAGTCAAAATTAGATAGTCTGCTAAATGACTAAATAAATAAATAAGATTGAGACCCGCACAAAGACAAACCAGCAGGTTTCTGTGCTTATGCATACTTGTCATATCATATGAAAATTCCTAATGTTGATGTTTAAGATTTACATCCTAGTATATTCCATCACAAGGCTGACCTTGTAAAGAGTGTTGCGAATTATTTCAATGTTCATCTCATCCAAATCCTGCTCAGAGATGCAGTCCTGAAAGAAAGCAGCTGAAACAAACAGAAACAGCCATTAACTGGGATGTAGAAATAAGCACCTTGGTATTATTTAGAACAGGTTTTTGAGTCGTTTCACAAAATTTCTGAATGCTTAAAAAGTACTGACAAGACTCCCAACTCACCGACTTCCTTTGTCTACAAAACATGAAGTGAATGTGACTCGTGTGAATTTTTCATATCAGACTGTCTTACCAAGTGGTGTATCCACCAGGATGGCATTGTAGAGCTCTGCTGGAGTTTGGGCGATGTTAACGGCCTCCATCTGTTCAAAGCTGCCAAGCGGATGGCACTTGGGCACCAGCTCTGAAATGGCCCGCTGATGGAGAGTTCCAGTGATCAACAGGATGACATTGTCAATCATATAGCTGTATCTGAAAAAGCAGTAAGATGGAAAAGAGATTAATAATGGGTGCCGAGAGGTCAAAAGTCAAAAAAAGGCAGTGAAAGCAAACAAAAATATTATTGGCTATGGATATTCACTAAACACAATACATTTGTAAATTACAGGAGCTCAATATTATATGTGACGCCTCATGCAGTGTGAATTTGAAGCGTGGTTTGTTTATGTTCTTTGATGTTTAACTGCACTCACGTGATGAAATCCATGAAGCTGGCCAGAGGCTCATAAGACTGGTTCCTCATATGGCGGAACTCAACCACCATCTTTTCTTTCAGCTTGTCATCAATGACGGAGACAGTGAGGGGAGAGGCTTCATTGGCCAGGAAGCTTCCATAGTCAGTGCTCTGCAAGTGAAGCTTCAGGTCTGTGGGAAAAAACAAAACAAGAAAACTCTTTAATGGCAAAAAAAAAAAAGTAACTGATTTGATCTGTAAACCCAAAACCTCATTCTTCAGTGTTAAAGGGTTGCATTCTGGCAGCGATTTCTATATTCTATATCTCGGAACTGTTTTTACACAATTTCCAGTTCCCTAAAACAGAGACAAAAATTCCAAGTGAGTCACTTGCCATTGATTCTTAAAGGAAGAGACCAAATTAGCTATAATTTAATACATTTATAAAAAATATTGTTTTAATTTAAAATAATGCAAAAAATCTGGTAATTTTGAAAGGACTAATTTCATCGCAAAGTGTGAAATATTAAGATATAACGCAGCACAGGTTGAACAAATAAACAAAGGACATCTTAATCAGTAAGAAAGATCATAATCTTCAATAATTATTTATGAGATCTAAGATTTCAAATCTATGCAAAGAGGAATTAACAGCAAGTTAAACAGCATGGTTCGTGCCGGGTAAAGTATCAAAGAATCAAATGAATCAAAGTTTCTTCCTAAATTTTACAGAATACACAAAGTAGAAGGCAAACTCTATCCAATAAGAGTTTGGGCATAATTGCTTCTTTTCTAATTAAAGCAAATATGCGCTTCAAAATAATTAGAGCAAACTTGCCGCCAGAGGAAAATGACAGAAAGTCATACATTCTCCATACAGCAGTAGATGAGCTCAGGTTGAAGAAGAATCTGCCCAGCCTACAGAAGTGACGTCATGACACATCACATGACCAGCACCACCAACTACCTGTTTTTTTTTTAATGAAACCTGCATCTTTCATTTATATAAAGAACGTAAACATTTACGATTTATCTCGAACATTTGCATAAAACGCTCCTAATCTCTTACCCGACTGAACGTTTTTAAAAACGACGTTGAAATAGAAAGGTGATGCGCTGGTAACTCGTCAGTCAGTCAGGTTAAACAGAGGCCTTATAATAATAATAATAATAATAATAATAATAATAATAATAATACTGTACACTGTGCATAATTAACATGGAGCCGTGCTCTAAACATTCGCGTACAATCACATAAAATGAACACGTAAATAAACAAGTCAGAAAATAGCTGATACACTGAATGTGTTGCTGATAACATCAGTTAACGTGCATTTAAATACTAGCAGTGAGAAGTACGTTAACATAATATAATGATTACAGCCAGGGCTTCAGCTGTTAACTTAATATTGGGTCTGAGGAAAATGAGGAATATATAAGGGCGTGAAAACTGATCTTCACCTGCTAAAGGGAATTTAAATGCTGGCTAAAAAACAAGCTAACTGACATTAGCTGGGCTGTGCTATAGATATATGACGATTTATCAGCGAGTTACCACAACAATTATAAAATTAGGTTTTGCATCTTCGAAAGACGATAAATGTCAATAACGACAGGCAACGGTATGTAGAAATATCGCAAATAAAACCGGACAGCTAGCAGATCAGCTAACGTTAGCAGCCAACACACACTCCACTCACCTTCCAGAGTTTCACACTGAACGAGATTCAAATAATCCGCCTGAGATAAAATACCAGCCTTAAAACCTCTCACCAGCCCCTCCAGATAACCGTTATCCACATTAAAATATAATTCAGAGAAAGGCATTGTATGAAAATAACACTACCGGTGTACTAGCTTAAGAGAGAGAGAGATGTAGCCCAATGCAGTCTTGAGTGATAATGCTGTCTGATTCGTGAAGAATCGTTCTTCTGAGTCGGATCTTTTCAGTGAATTGTTTAAACAGGTTCACAGAACTGGTCTGATTGATTCAATGAGCCAGAATAGCTACAAAAAGGAATCCTGGATTGTTTACAGCTTTATTGTATGGCAGTTTAATCAATATACATACGAAGCACTTCATTTTAACAAATTCGTGTGTATTTTTTACCCGAACAATGTATGCATTTCAGTTTTGCTTATTGTAAATACACATTTTAATTTAAAAATGACTTTATTCTGAGCTGAATCCTAGCTGCTAAACTGGTACACTGCAATACAATAACACATAACGATAAACAATTAGCCTATTCATTTCATTTGGAAACAGAAATAATCATTATTGTAACGTTTTAGTTTTAGACTAGAGCCGCGATGACATAAAAGAACAGGGGCAAGTTCAAGCTCAAACCGGTGTGCACCGTTTTTGTCGGGGCTGAACCATAGACTGTGGCTGAACGCAGCCCTGATGATACGGTGGTGCAGGAAACATGAACACGTTTCTGGTGCGTTATGGGCTCATCTCTGCTTTCTGTTGCTGAGCAGCTTTTGAAAGCCCTTCAGAGAACTTACTCGGAGACAAACCAGATACCAGATGACCTACTAATAGCATTACGGTTTGTGTTTGGCCAATGTGCTCTTCAGGCGTTGGGCCTGGTGGACCAGCGCTCTGTCACATGTTTGTCATCACCTAGCGGTCGAAAGGCATTTCAGGTGTTAGGTGGATCAGGGCATCTGTACACGTGCTTCACGTCCTGTCACTACTGCCCATGCCCTGCCTTCTCCTTCTCTGTGCTCCGGAGAATCGAGAGTCTGATGTGTAAGCACCTCCTGGCTGCCTATCTGAGTCAGGCCATGGGTTTGTGCCAGCAGGAGCAGGTCTCAGATCAGAAGATGACCCATATTCTCTCAGGGAAAACTGGGGCCAGCACATAAATAACTGATCCTGGAGTAGAGTGAGACTCTGATAAGAATATTCAGATATTTAGAGTCATTATGGATTAGAATGGACTCGTCTTTTCAAAGTTGTTGTTGCACTTAAATTTTTTATTTTTTTTTAATGAGGGATGATCTGTCGTAGAATGTTAAAAATTGCTTTGAAAGTAAATAAACAAGCAGAGTTGGGACCCTCAAAAAAAAAGACAGAATCTTTCAAATGAACTGTTCAAAAGAACCGATTTGAGAAAATGAGTCGGAATTCCCATAGCTGAATGAGGGAAGTTGCGGATACCCGGAGACACACACACGCACACACACGAACTCATGTGATTGAGCATCTGACTATCAAACCTTAAACACTGATCTCAGCCCAGCCCTACACAGAACCTGAGCAGAGGCCCTGAGCAGAACCTCAAACTAATGATTCCACATTTATTGTTTGTTTGCTGGTTAACTTGAATGTTTAAATGTGAATGTAAATGTGAATGTTTTCCTTTGCCAAAAAGGAAAACCTTTTTTTTCAAGTAGCTTATACACCATCCTTACAAACCAACTAATATGTTTTTTCTTCATTAATTAAAGGCCAATGGCTTTTGAAAGGCAGTGTATATGGTGCACTCTGCCAGCTTCTGAAGAAGAAGTAGCTACCATGAACATTATACTTGATGTAGCCAACTTATAAAATGGAGAAACTTGTTCAGATGACGCTGTTCTCCAGAAGATTATTAATTATTGTACATTTTCACATGAACAATGAACAGATTTCTGTGAACTCATCACTGCCCTCTGATAAATTATTTTCGCTGCAAAATTAAATGTTGACAAAGTGTCTTACAGCGGAAATGCTCAGTCCATTATTTCTTCAAATATGCCATTTATATGTTCCAGAAAGCAGGATATGAACTCAAATCATCTTAATTTAATACTAGTCAGCTAAAAGCATGTCGTAGTTTAAAATAGCACCAAATATTTGTTGATGAGAAATTGTCTGGTGACAGCTTAAGCATTACATTCACACAATATTTATTTACTTGTTTATTTATTATAAAAAAGAGAGCTTCACCATACAGTTGTGTCTATGCCATAGACTTTATAGACCAGTCTTCAAATATCTAAACTACTAATGCTGCCTTGACCTGTTTGTTTCATACAAAATGCTCTAACACATGTTTCTGTTAATTACGCATTCTGGTTGTCACTTATAAACAATTCAGACCAATCTGACCTTACAAAGAGAAGTACTGAACTTCATACTCATAAACAATTTATTTCCTCACAAATGGATGCTGTATTGCGTCACCAGCGCTAAAACAGCAGGCTGGAAACATCAGCTGATTGGAGCTGTATTAGCTTCATAATGAAGTGTTTACTGGTCAGTACTGTGCTTTAACTAAACCTATAGGATGGGGAGTATGAAGTATAAATGAAGAGTTTATTTGCAAAAACAGATAACGCCGATTTTTACATTTTAAAAAATCATGTTTTTTATTATCTAATCATGTTTTTATTGTGTTTTATTGTGTTAGTTAGCTGTATTTGTTAGTTATTTTTTAACCCAATCAAAATAACCCAACTGCAGTTTGATTGAGATTAACTGGAATGCACAATGAAAAAAAACATGATTTTTGAATATTGTTAAAAACGGAGTTATCTGTTTTTGCTAATTAACTTTTCAAATGTAGTTAGACTGAAGTGCCTAATGCAAGTATTCAAGCCTTTAACCCATTGCTTTACCAAATATGTTTTTCAGCAATTCATCCCTAATGAATTTTTTCATTTTGTTTTTGGTGGCAATACAATGTTATTTTAAAAGAAAATTATATCCAATTATAAATAATGTATAAATATAAAAACCGAATGTGTAAGTCGTAAAACTATAAGTATGCCTTGCTGCAATATAAATAAGCAATAACCAAAACTTAACAATATTTAACTAATATTTGCTCTGAGTATTGGTTCAAAATGCAGCACCATGTTTCATACCTACTGAGCTATACTAAGCAGCAATGCATTTTTCATACTTCTCATATAATTTCATACATTTAACTCAAGTTGAATATATCAAAGTCTGAAATAACATTCACAATCCTAAAGGAAATTCTATATATTCCTCTTTTCCTGTGTTGATGTGATGAGTGCATGGGCTTATGTGTGTTGTCAGTGTTTGTGTGGGAGTTAAGTGGTTGTGCCAGGCACAAGAGACCACACCTCCATTCACTGACCAGGACCATGTGTCCCTCACCTCCCACCTCAAGAAACCTTATAAATCACAGAGTCCAGTGCAGACCCTCAGCCTTGGACACAGAACCCTGCAGGTAAGTCAGACATACTTTACTTATTCATGTACATTTGCAAACAGATCCACTTACATACTGTATGGCAAATACAAACCAATGCAAATACAAAATACAATCTACAATCTATCTGTCTACATGCTCACAAACATAAACATGATTTCAAACATTGAACGTCAGTCTGAGTGTTTCTTGACTGCACTCTGTTTTTTCAGTGAATACAACTGGATCACTAAAAGTGTGGCTGAAGTTTATCTTGTTTTGGGGTTTCAATGAATATGATGCTGAACATAGCGATCATCAGCTGGTTTTTGATGAATGTCATGGTGATGGCATCACATCCAAACCTGAGACGTAGTGAAAACTCCTTTGCTCTATCTGACACAGGTAAGGTTTCTAGATTTATGTTATTTTCCAAAAACACGGAGTGTATCTTTTTTTGTCGATAATTTCAGAGATAGTCTTTTCTTTTAAAAATGTTTGTTAATAATACAGTTTACTGTGATTTGATACAGTACAAATGTTTACACATATCTTATAGGGGATGTTAAAAATTGTATTCTAAAATGTGAAAAATAGTAATAATAAAGAATGTCTTGATACAGTCTTCAAGTCAAATTCTACTTATTTCAAAATCAATACATTTCAAATATATTATATTTGGATAATATATACAAGTGGATATCATTTACATTATGATTTATTCATTATGGAAGTACACAACATTTATGTAAAAGTGGTCAGTATTTCATTGTGTAAATTCTGTGGTACATTATGTACTAAATTAATGAATTTCAAATTTATGTCATGGACAGCTTGTAATTTTGGGGGTTTTGGTATTGTTTTGTACATCATAGACTTACTACCTGGAGTGGAGCACCTTGAAATAAACTCTGCAGAAGAAAAACTGCTTGAAGACCTTGGATCCTATGATGAGGCGAGTAACTGACATTTAGCATACGCATTTAATATCAAGTGACTTTACTTGTTTCCAGGTCATACGTCTCATGACTGTGAAATTGTCAGTGCTAAAATTATTTACAAATATTTATTTTATTTAAATTGTCACATTTTTATTTTTCAATATTTTATTTCTAAGATATTATCTGTTTGCAGTTTTAATAGGCTAGTTTTTTTTGTATTGAAGTATTGAAAGGCATAGCCCACATTCCTATGTCAGCAGTGTGATACACAAATAGGTAAGGTGGTGACTAGGATGTTCTGATTTACATGGACATGGTACTTGGAGAAGAGATGAGTCTCTAAAATAGACTTAAATGACAGTGGAGGCAGTTCTGTGCAAAGGCAAACTATTCCAGAGCTTCGGGGCCGACACTGCAAAAGCACGGTCCCCCACAGTTTATGTCTTGACCTAAGGTGAAGTATTTTTGTTTCTTTTTGTTGCCATAGGATCTTGGTAAAGCTGTACAGTTGCAGAGAAGAGGCACACGTTCCCCCAGCCGCTGCATCCCTCATCAGCAGTCCTGCTTGGGTCATCACCTGCCCTGCTGCAACCCCTGCGATACATGTTACTGTCGTTTCTTTAAGGCCTTCTGCTACTGCCGTAGCATGGATCACACCTGCAAACACGAGTATGCATAGAGCCAAATTCTACCCTGAAATGACTAATTGTGGCTTTACATTTACAGTTTTACTGCTCTAGAATGTATATGTGGATAGTGTAAATATACAGCCTCACACTATCCACAGGGAAGTTTGTTACAATATAACAAATATAATGGTTAATATTTAATAATAAAGCTGCACAAAGCATTAAGAGTGCACCTTGGCTCTTAAGATTTCAGATTTGTATTGCTGCAGTTTTATGGTGTAATTTTATTGCAATTTTAATGTCAAAATCTTCTCATATTGTCATATATTGTATATATATGCATTCAATAAAATCAAATTATTGCAAATGTGTAGCGTGTTAAATTAAAAAAGGTATCAATTCGCCTGACATTAAAATTGAGCTGTGAACAACTGAATAAATGCACCGAGAGCCAGAAGAAAAACAGATTCATTTCTGCTTTACAAAAGGTTAAAACACATAGTATGTATTGGGTGCATCCTAGAGAGTGGGGAAATTAGTGGATAACGTATGAAAATGCAGTAAGCGTGCAAAACTTTCAATATTTTTGAAAAAGCAAACACCTCATAAAATTGGAGGCAAATAGTAGCTATTTTGAAAAGGCTAAAATATAACGCAGTTTTGATCTGTTTAACATTTTTAATCCCTACATACAGTAATTCCCGTAATTCCATTTGAGTGTTATTTCACAGTTTTGATGTATTCACAATATTAATTAATTAACCATATTAATTAAGAAATAATACTAGTAAAGAATACTGGATAAATTACCTTTTAATACAATTAGAATAAAACATATTCAAAACTAGTCATGGGCAGTTGAGGCCTAATGGTTAGAGAGTCTGACTTATAACTCGAAGGTCGCGGGTTCAAGTCTCAGGTCTAGCAGCCCTGTTGAAAAATCCAGCATATGCTGGTTAGGTATGTTTTGAAGCATGGTAGCTGGTTTAAGCTGGTCATGTGCTGGTCCTAATCTGGTCCTAAGCAGAAGCTAGTTGCTTAGGACCAGCACATAACCAGCTCAAACCAGCAGCCACGCTTCAAAACATACCTATCCAGGCTGTTTTTTTCAATTGTAGGGATTGTAGGTTGGTGGAGTGAATGTCCAGCACTCTCCTGGACATTTAATACCATGACTTTAATATCATGACTG